TTACGTGGCACTTCCATATAAGGGAATCTGTACTATATATAGCTCATATATATACATTCAATAAGTATTTTCGTTCATGCGGCACGTATTTAATCGACATGTTCGTTGAACTGTACACGATATATGCAATGTTTGTGATTGTTACTGTAGTGCGTTAATTAACTATGTGTGGCATCAACATTTACAAACACATATGTATATTTGTTTGTGATTGTATGGTAAATTAAGTTAAACAGAATATGTTACGTGTGCATGAGTAACACCAAGCAATATAAATATGTTTTCAGGTTCAATGGATATTTTAACAACTTAATTATACATGTATTATGATGTAGCAACAAATACTTATGACATGCTTTATAGACCTAACCACCAAATGCATAGATTTAATTATTCAATTATAGCGTGCTTATGAATGTAGACATCTTATACGTAAACAAAACCAAAAACAAACAAAAACCAAATGTCACAAACAAACAAACAACAAAAAGACAAGACAAACAGAAGACTTGGCCAATGCGTATGTAACTTATTTTATACACGGAACACTAAAAACCAAAACTACATTTTTTGGCTAGATTATGAGTATTAAAGAAAAACCATTATTATTAGCTTAGCGATATTCAATAAAAGTTAAGAAAACTAATAAACATCTTAAAATGTAGAAGAATTCGAAACGCCAACGAATATACAGATTTATTATACACACTGCGTTTATTCGATGATGATGTATTTTATTAACTATAGCGTGTTTATTGTCACTCGAAAATTTAATACAAATCTGTAGTAATATATATGTACATATACGCCACCGAATACTTGGATTACTAATATAGAATAGCTTCAATATATTTGGAACACATAGCAAGCACGAAGCATACGATCTATGCAGTTATTATCTCCCTATAACTGGAGATTTTGGTACCTAATAATTGTGAATTGGCTTCAGAGATTGATTACAGTACAGACAACAGAATTTGTTATCACTTTTTCGAAATTATCTAAAAGCAGTAAATAAACAACCTTAAATTTCTTTTCTGCCTTAAGGCAATAAAACAATTGGACTTATAACTTCGCACCGATTATGGCAATAATACATAAGTTGATTTATCGTATATATATAATAATTATTATGTTATATCTTGATAAAGAGATGCAGTAAGCGATAAAACCTATGAAATTATTAATATTGAAGAGGTTTTTTTTAGGATTTTCTTTACCAATTATATATTATAATCAAAATAGAACAATTAATTTCAAGAAATAATTGTATTCTAGTCATCTTAACTCATCTAAAAGTCTAAAACTGTTTTACAATATAACAGCGAATACAAGCAATAGGGAATGCTTTGATAGGCGACATACTTATGTAAGGGTATGCAAAGGAGTAAAAGTAATTCTATGAAACAAACTATTCTTAATCTAATACTAGGGAATATAAAATTATTCACAATCTAAAAATAGGGTAGTATAAGAAATGATTGCTTTTCAGTCTAATTTGTCAAGGATGCCCAAGGCAATCCTTGCGGGTAATTCCCATTTAATCCTTGCAGTAGATCACATAGAAGCAAACGTAATATAATCTGTAAAGTTAAGTAATTTCGATCAGATTATTACATCGTTAGGTTATCATATTGTGGTTATGGAGCTGTTCTTCCTCGATGGTTATTTATGCGGGTAGTCAATCCCGTTTTATAGGAGCAAAACGTGTCAGCGCCAAGTGTTGTCCCACTGCTGGATGTTTGATGGCTCTTGTTTACATAAGTGATAAAAAAAAGTGGCCGAGAAGCCACCACCACAAAAGCGTCACTGCGCTGCGGAAATCAAAAATCCATTAAAATACCACGGAAGCGGACCGCATAACGCTGCCAATCAGCTTATGTGTACATAAGTGTGTATGGCTCTATTGATATTGGAGTTTTATTTATGCGAACTTTGGCTCGGCCAGTGCCGGGCAACAGGCAAGAGGGCAACCAGCCAGCAGCAGGCCAGGCATCAGGCGGACGCATATTGAACTTTTGGCACGTCAGCTGATAAGATCCGCACGCTGATGTTCTCTTTTGTTGTTTTTGTTTCTTTTTGTCTTCTGTTTTGACCAAACGTCCAATATCATGCTAATGTTGCCACACAGTTGCATCAATTGTTTTTCAATCAAAGGGCCATCAATCTTTTGAATGTTTGTTTAATTAACGCACAGGCCGCATTGTCTACCTTGCCCAATCAGTGGCAACCAACGCCCATGGCAATGGCGATAGCAGCAGCATAAATAAACCGAGAGTGCCTCATGCCAGCCCAGTTGACCCTCGGTTACGCTTGATTGCCAGGATATATCCTGGTTCCGGACTCCGCCCGATGCAGTTGTTCGCCTTCGCCCTTGTTCTGGCTTCGTTTTCGTTCTGCTTTGGCTTCTGCTTTGGCTTGGCATTTTTCTTTCGCATTTCACTTCTTAACTTTGTCCATGTCTTCTGCGTCCATTAAGTGTGTCTGTGCTAAGACTTGGAAATTGTCTTTTGAATGTTTCAATTACACGCCTTCTTAAGCACAGCTTCTCTCTACTCAAATTGAAGCAACGCTTGAGCCAGCAGCTCCCTTAAATTCGGTTGACAGGCGACTGGCTGCTCGTGCCTCTCGTATTTTTCGGCTTTCATGCGCCAATAAAGTGAAATACACAGATAGTCCAACAATTTACTGCCTTCCATCTATCGTATGCATGTGAGGGTGCTGTATGTGTGTGTGTGTCTTGCCTTTCTCATTGCCTTGCACCCGCCTGGCACTTTCGTTAAACACTTTTGCCTTAAACCATTAATTTCCTATACGTTCGACTTGTACGTGCTGGTAGCCAGCACCCGGGTCTGAAGGAAACTTAATTTTATTGCTAAAAGCGGGTTAAGTGCTTGACACACAGCTGAGTGCCTCCATTATATAAAGCGCAGAGCTGGCTTGCGCCTGCCTGCCTATCAAGGCAGTGGATAGGAATCGAATTTGCTTTATGGCATGTATGCTAATTTTATGTCTAGTTAACATTCGCCCAGGGACTGGGGGTATTCTCCTCGATGGCTCCGATTGAACATTTACTGCGATTGACTTTTAATTTACAGTTGAGCCCGCAGTCAGTTATCAGCCGTATTAAGCAACTGCAAATTAAAAGTGATTTTGTATTTTGAAGTAAATCATTTTCTGGCATTAGCAAACTTAAGGCTTTACTAAGACATATCCCCCTTGCCGCCCCCCTCAGCTGCAACTCTTTAATGGCCTGCAGCTTAGCTCCTGATCGAACCGCCATTAAAATAAATGCATCGAATTTGTGTAAAACTATAAATTTCAAGTGTTTGCACAATGCGAACAAATTGATTGCAAGAACCGTAAAATCAAATGATGCATAAATAAAATCAATGCCATCATGACCCAAAGGTCAAAGTGCACACACAATATGTGCGTTATTTACGAGGATTTTAGTTTACGACCGCAGAGCAACCAGATTGACACTTGCAAGCAAATTAAATAGAAAAGTGCGTTAGGCGAAAACTGAGCCAAAAATGCTCTTGTGAAATTTTATACATAATTGAATTTATGGTCAATTCGTGTCACACACACACACACAGACACACACACACATTCACTCTCAATCTGTGCATACAATTACCCAAAACATATAGACAGCTGAGGTCAGATCAGATCAGCGCTTTTCGGTGGGTGACTTGGCCCTTTGGCCTGCGGCTATTGCACCACACGCCAAACAATCGGAAACCGAATGTCATCTTCAATTTCAAATTCAATTATAAAACAAATTGGTTTGAGCGCAAATAAATAGAGCTACAAATATATCTGTTTATAAGCACATACACATATACGTACATACATGTATATGTATATGTATGTGCGGGGATGAGTTGGTGTGGTCGAGCCACTCGAAGCAACATCAAACGGAAAATCCATTCATCCACTTTGGAATTGTGTCCAGTCGCTCTAGTGAAATAAATGTAATGAAATGTTAACAAATGACAACAGGCTGGCAAACATGCAGCAAAAACCGCAAGGGTGCCTTGCTCCTGCATCCATGCTGACCACACAGACAGACACAGTACACACACACACATACACATACACTGTGTGCACATATACACACATCCTCCACGTATCGAATTAGTTTGATGAGATTTATTGGCTCAAGTCCCACTTGACCAACAGCAGCGCCTGGCCAGACAATTATGGATGAGTACCATTTGTTTTTGGTCGGACTTTGATACTTCACATTCGCTTGCTTATGGCTAAATCATGTGGCTGACAATGATGCTAATGACGATTCGTCGGCATTATATGGCACCGATATTCATTGCCGTTGGCTCAGATTTTCTCTATTACCTAAGCGCATCGGATTACCATGCGGGTGAAGCAATCCCAAACCCAAGCCCAAACCCGAACCCAAAGCCAAACCCAGACTCGAAACTTAAGCCCATGTCCATGCCCTTGCCCATGCTCACGCCCACTCGCACGGCCACGCACGTCGCTTGTCAACGCCAGCCCCTTGTTGCAGGTCCTTTGGGGAAATTTGTCAGAGCATCAGCAGCGTTAAGGTGCCAATTAAGGGCTTTTTAGTATCAATTACAAAATCGCACGTTTCCACACCTTTATCAGGCTTGAGGAAGTGTGTCCTTGTGTGCACGTATGAGTGCCAATCTATCTGCGCCTATGTGGCTGGTGTTATATGCCGGTCAGCATTCGGTTTGGGGTTCGGTTGGGCTCTGCGGCTCTGCTGCTACGTCTGTGGCATCTTTTCCGAAATTGTTTTGTGTCATTGTTTTTATTTCGGTTGCTTTCCGCTCGCCTCCGTTGCTGTCACTCCCCATTTGACAGCGTCATTTTGTCAGTGATTTATTGTTTCGATGGCGGCAAATTGGGTTTGTCATTAAAGTAGTTAGATTACTGAAAGCATAATCGAGAGATTACGACAACATTTTCGCCCAGTCGCAATCTATGATAATAGAGCTTCGATTTATATTCTATTGAAGCGTGTTAAGGTCAAGGGAGTAGGTCTTAAAACGAGAATTGGAATGAAAGTGCAAACACTGCTCAACACCAGGCTCATCTGGCTGACCATCAGACCAAGAGAAGAATTTCAGTGGCAGACCGTTGGTTATTGACATGAAGTCATGAGGCACGACAAGATCGTTGCCCGATATCCAATAATGAGCGGTAATGTCGAAGTTGAGCAGATAATTTGAAAGAATATTCATCTCTTCCTGCGATTCGATCAAAGCCAGATCTCCGCCAAATTGTCGACATATGTGAGCGGCTTCGAACCAGGTCACCCTTGATCCACCACGGAAATAGTATTTCTCGCCGACCCGTTCATACTTATGGATCTCACTACCATCACAAATCACCGGTTGGCGAAACGTTAATCAGAGATTCGAATAACTCTACACTATTACAAGATATCTTACCACTAATTTTAGGCTGGCTAGGATAGTTGAAGTTATATGCGAGAGCACTGTACAGACAGACTGCGAGTAGAACAAGAGAGCGCTTCATAGTGAATCGTCGCGGTGCGAATTTGGTTTGAGTGACCCAACCAGCCAGCCGACGTCTTTTATAGGCGATATCTGATTATTTACACAAGTGTGTACAGTATTTTGTGAAGTATTTACCCCTTTATATCCCAAATTTGTGTACTCAAGCTTTAGCCGGCTCCCAAGCAGTTCCCTTATCTCGTTTTTCGATCTTTTTTTTGGGTTTATGGCACATATGAATTGACTATGAATGAAATATGAATTGAAATGAATGAAAATGGACAACGTTTGTTCATCAAAGCTATCATTTGATTTGTCAACAGCTGTGTTAATACCCAGGTGCATGTTTGACAAACCTCTTTCACAGTTTTATTCCTATATTGTCAGTCAGCCTGTTGACAATATCTATTATATATATTTAATTGTTTAGATATTTTGAATATTTGTTTAGATATTTCGAATATATTTTCTTTTCTATATTCATCGAGCTGCTTGCTTTAGGTATATAATTAAATATGCTTTGCATATAGTCATACGTTTTCATATACATACATATAACATCCGCTTAGTTTTGCTTCTAGATTTTAAAGACTCGCTTTTACTAATAGCTTTAGTCACACTCTCACACTTGCATATGCCCTCTGGCCGGGAAGTTGCTTCCTTTCTCAGATCTTTGTCAGCTCCAACTCTGCCGCGTCCTCTGCTGTCAGTTGGCTTCGTGTAATCCACACCTAAAATCCATGGCAGCGTGTCTGAAGCTACTCCCAATTTCGACTCGTATTACAAATTAAAATGTGCCGCAACCCACACAGACCATTGCATATACACATACACACATACATATATGTATATGGGCATACCGATTCATGCCACACAGAGGCATTTCAAACTGATTAGCTGGCACCTCAGTCCCTTTCTCGTTTCCTTTGCCTTTCCTAGCGCCCTCAACTATTCCCTTTCACTTTCTCAGTTCGACTGCTGCGGCTGTTACGGGTCAATGAGATGCTAAGCATATGACAAGGCATTGAAAGGGTGTCGCACAACTTTTAAAAGATTGTTCAATTTTTAAGTAGACCAGGCAAGGATTTACAGGAATTTGTTAGCTGTTGCTTTGTGGCTTTGACATTTTTCAAGGGATTGATGGATTTTACTTCTGCTGCAAACGGGCCGCCCCAGACTCACAGTTCACTGAGCATATCCTGCCATCGAGCCATTGATTTATTTGCTCGCGTTTGTGATTTAGTTTTTACATAGATACATACATATATATATTCTTTTTTTTTCAATTTCTGTTCCTCCCAAAACTGTCAACAGTTGAGCCTTAAAACACTCGCCCATGCATCATAATGCCGCTTATGATTAATCGCTGGTAATTATGTTGATTAATTGCCTTATTAGGGCTGCGCTAGTTTCTGCGCTAGTTTTTGCTGCGTGAGAAGCAACGACAACGGCTGCCGTATATCATGTTATCGGGAGCGTGCTGTGATTAGCTAGAGCGTTTGTAAAGTTGGGGAAGCATGCCTTGAAATAGCCACGTAAACTCCACTCGGCGCCCTAAGTCATTCTTTAATTACTAGAAAACCATTTGGGCTCAAATGTTTTCCTTTGTTCGCTTGTCCGCACGGCAAACAGAATAGCAGCACCTTCCGCTACTCCTGCTACTGCTGCAACTCCTGCTGCTCCTGGTCAAGCCATAATATTTCATTACATGCTGCGCTCCGTTTCTTTTGCTTTTTTTGCTGTTGTGGGTTTTTTTTTTTTTTGCTGCCATTTCGACGGGCACTTAAAATTAAGCGTGCCCAAATCCCCAAAGACCGCAGGCCCAACATAAACAAACTAACCAAATGAATGCAACTGTGAATGCTGCGCAGCATCCGCCGGGAATACGACTGAGTGAGTCCGGTAAGGGCGAAGGCACCGGTACGGCAGTGCCTGACTGGCTGGTGGTAACCGCAATCATAAAAATAATAACCACATTATTGTGTTTAATAATGAAAAATATCATTTGCGGCATAACTTTTGGCTTTTGTTTGTGCAGCGGCAGCAACGGCAGCGGCAGCGGCAGCAGAAGCCAACCCCCCAAAGAAGGGCGCCCGCATTTTGGTTGGCTGTCGTTGAACGGATCAACCCTTAAGTTCGCTTAAATATTAACCGTCGGAACATATTTTCTAAATTACGTTCATTTACTAGGTGGGGGAGTCGTTAGATTGAGTGCCTTTTGCTTAATTTGCGGGCGCCGCCAGCCATCCCAAAAAGGGGTGTGCGATGGCGTCTTGAGTGCGTGCCAAAAAGGAGAAATACAGAGAGAGAGAGAGAGAGAGAGAGAGAGAGAGAGAGAGAAAGCAAGAGAACTGATATGGCTGGCACCATTGGGCCACCCTCTGGCTGAGCTGAGCTTGTTGTTTTTATTGGCATGTTGACTTTTGAAATTAGTTTTTAATATGCGCAAATACTTTGCATATTTGGCTCAAGTGCTCGACACCGTCAACAAACATCGGCAGACGAATCTTTTTAGCTTTATCGGCTATGTAAACGGAATTGCGCCAGATGCCCTTATCGGTAGGAAAACGCAAATATTTGTAAACAACCCGAAATGCAATCCACAAAATGCTTAACCCCCCTTCCTCTCTCTCTCTCTCACTCTCTCTCACTCTCTCTGTTGATTGTAAAAAACCGAAAACAAAAACAAAAACATAAAAATCTCTGCATATTGACATCAATTAAAGTGCATCAAGTCGACGCTCAAACAAACAACATAATTCACAACAAATGTGCGTCGTCGTCGTCGAGCCTGGGCACAACAGCAACTATTCATTAGCTACCCCCGCGGGCAACGGGCAAAGGCAGCCGCAGCATCCCAGTCGGAGGTCCGGGCCGTACCCTTGTTCCCGTTACGTTCCTGAGGCGACAAGCGGTGAGTGCGTCGAATATTGCCTTGGGCTGGTCTTTTGGGCGGGCCGACGAGGTCAACTGAAATAGTTCTATAATGAACAAAACACATTGTAAATTGTCCTGCTTGCATTGTAAATGGGCACAAGTGTGCGACGAGCCCTTTTCAATGGCATACACTGAGCGAAATCGGGTGCTCAATTTAATTTATATACATATATTTAAAGTCATGCATTTGTAAATCTATTTATTTAAATCTGTTTTATATATTTTGTACACATTTCTTTGCAACTATCTAAAAGTAAATGTATCTGAAAACGCATTGCAGTGTATGCTTGCCTAATGTAAAGGACAAATTAGCAAAAAGCAGCCCAGCCATTTAAAACAAAATGAGTCTGACAATGTCCTTAACTGCGCTGCCTTTTACTCTACTACAAAGTTTTCCCCAGACAATTCAATTTTACTACTGCAGCCAGCGAGGCCATGGGGTTTCTATGAATATACACTCGCGGCCAGCACAATATGTTCACAAACTATTTTAATTTGCATGCAGCTAAGCTGTCTATTAAGAATATGGATAAAGTGGGGAGTGAATCTAGCCGTCTTTGGACATTCGTGCAGCTATGATTTTGTCTCAACCAATGTGAAGTATAGGAACTTAATATATTTTCTTACGGAGATGTATCATAAATTTGTTTAATATATTTTATTTTTAATGTTAATTTGTTAAATGAAAACCAATGGAATAAATATAAAATTTAGCTTATATAATGTACAGTTTTAAAATTATTAAAATCCTTAGATTTATAATATCTGAAAGATAATTAAAATTATTTTAACTAATATCATATTTATGTTTGTAACAAATTGTAGACAAAAGATGTTAGAAATTATATGTATATATATTAGGAATTAAAAAAAAAATATAATTTTTAAACTATATGTAAAAGTTATTAAACAATATCTCACAGGTAATTTCATTTTTGATTTTTAATAATTTTATATACAAATATAATACTAACGTCTATTAAAAACCATAAGAAAATAATGTAAAATTTAAAAATAAAAAAAAGAATTCTATTTTTTGGGGAAAAAAAAAATATTGAATCTTCCTTTTGTTAACTTTTATGAATTTTAAATGTAAATAACAAACACTTATGTATAACTGTTAAAACTATAAATAAGTGATGTTCAATATTAAAAATATATATTATTGTATTTATTTTAATGCTAAGATAATACAAAAAGGATATTAAAAACTACGGGTAACTCTGAAAATGAATATTATTGTTTTGGATAGTTTTTATACTTCAATCTTCTCATACTTAACGTAATTTTGAATTCCTATTGGTTGGGATTATCAATCAAATAAACTAATCCATGTTTGTATACCTAAATTCATACAAATTTATATAATGCATTTCAAAATCTTTTTGTACCTATTATTTTGGCCGTAGGTGTGCCTAAGCATAGAGTGCTTGGAAGAGTAGGCAAATGTAAGTGTTCTGCGGAAACCACTGCGTCTTTCTCTCTCTCTCTCCCTCTCTCTCTCTCTGGCTTTGTGATGCCCTGGCCTGCCCGACGATGACTACGAAATGCAAAACTGCCGCCACAGCTAATTTAATAATTTATCATTTTGCTGCAGGGCAACAACAAAAGATTATTTAAATTCGCGTATTACACAACCGGGTAGATCGGATCGATTTTGAAACCAGCCGAGTTGGGCTCGACGTTCGACGTTCGGGGTTCGGGGGTTGTGCAGGGCCATAAATGACGTGTTGGCCCGCTGGTAATACAGCGCAATAATTTAAAAATTTCCACACCCCAGAAGTGACTATGGGAGTATGAGTCGAGTGTAAGAAGGGGTGCTTCATTTGTCCAATTATGCATTTCAAATTAAATGATGTGGCAGGATTCAAATTTTTCACAAAATCTTCACTATTCTAATTGCCGCATCTAATGTCAAATGCAGCGAATTGTAAACTACACACAGATTGCACAAAGGCTGACAGCAGATCTCCCGAGTGTGTGTGTGTGTGTGTGTGTGTGTGCGTGTGTAACCCTTTGAGCAGCGCACTTGAAACAAATTTGTTTACGCACTGTTGGGAAATATTTTGATTTATATCGACAGGCTGGCACTCGAAG